TTTCTGTGCTGGTATTAAAAACTCCTGTATCATGATAAGCTGGTTTCCCTCGAAAGATATATTTTATTTTGATTTGACAAGAAAGTATGATGTGGGTCGTGGTTAAAGCATCTGACCGTTTACGGTCGATTGGCTTCTACCACTGGGTCGCGGTTTCGAGGTCTTTGTATGTCAATCGCTATATACTGGTCACAGGTTGGCTGTTTTTCTCTTGGTGGTCCCGTTTTTCTCCACCAACAACATCTGGCATGTTATTGAATGACCATAGCTGTTAAAAGGAGTAAAACCCGAACAGATCAGTCAGGTGCCGTTCTTTGAACATTTTTGAAGTTTTATAAGATCATGACGTCCTACTTTTTGTTTCAGTTCTTTTAAGTCCAACTTAAAAACATACATCAGATTGGTTGTTTCGCAAAAGCAAGGGTCGGTTGCCTAGGGAGACACCGCTGTTAACAAAAGTAGAAAAAAAGAGGAAAACAAGAAGAAAGGAAACGAAAAGATCCTGAGTGATGAGTTTGTATAGTAGATTTTTGTTTTTTCATAAGAAAATGAAGAAAACATCCCCGATTCTGCAGAGGCCCCCACATTAGTCGCCTATTACGATAATGCAGAGAGATACAGCAGGCCTATTACTTCTCCAAACCTGCACGAGTGAAAACTAGCATAGATTCAAGGTATTGTAATAAGGGAAACAGATAAAGATTGGTTCATGCAATGTTCACCGAGAGGAGGACACAGACGACAAGGCTTGAATCTGCTGGGAATTCCCACATAAGTCGCCTTTTACGTTCACGTGCATGATCATACAACATACCTCTTTCATACAACGTAGTAAACACCATGTTCACAGGTATTCTAGACGGCTAAACATAGTTTAGACACAAACAGGTGACTGCACTTATACATTTTGGTAACAGATACAGTTTGCTAGAAAAGAATCACACTGCATCATTCATCTGTTTCGTTTTCCCATGACTTATTGGTGATGATCAGGACCAAAACGTTGGCTGAAACAGAAGGGATGACGCGTAAACCCCCTTTATTTTTAATTTAAAAGTATAGAGGAAACTGTGATCACAAAGATTACAGTAAACCTGTGAAGAGGTATAGTTTTTTGAAAAAGAAGGGCTGGGGTGTAAACCCTTTTATGATATTAAAATTTGTAAAGAGATACCTGTGGCAACTACGGATACAGCAAAGCTCAGTGACTACAAACTACACCAGCATAGTTAACCAGTATCATGTCAAGGGATATAGTTTTAGAACACTGAGTTGAAACTTTTATTAAACAATAATAAAGTCTTAACTTAGATATCATCAACAAAATTCATCAGTTTGGAAATAAATCTGTAACACAGCTTTATTTTATTCAATGTATATTTACGTATCACCGTTGGGATCAGTTTAATACGTACATTTCTGTCTATAAACTAAAACTGTTATTCCATTAATTTAAGACAAATTATTTTATATTTTTACTATTAAACGGAACTAGCCATCTCTTTGTCATCATCAGATTGTTGAAAAATGAATATATCCAAGAAGCAGAACAACAGTTCCCAGTAATCGGAAATGAAATATCCAGCTACCAAGAATAAGTCACTATCAGTCACAAGACGAGCAATAACCACACAGTCCACATTCCTGCACGATAAAACATATGATAACTGGCATAAGTGCTCACGATATCAATTTCGGAGATAAACTTCCCACTAGAATATTGCCCTGCGTCTGATTCAGTCTCATTTAAAACGACAAAAGCTTTTAATATTTGTAACCAACACAAAGTAGGTTATCTAGACCACATATATTGTCCTATGTGTACATGTCGGTTTATTCTTCCTTATGAATTATAACTAACAGTGAAATATTAAGTTTTTTTAAATGCTTGAAAACACAGAAGCGTGCTGTTTTACTGCATTACCAAACGGCGTGATCAATGGTGCAATATTTTAATAACGTCATGTTCGACAACTTAAAGTTAAATATTGCCCGTTCCGTTATCAGAAATTTGACAAAATCTTATTTTCACCGTGATTGTCTATACTGAAAACGGAATGATCGTCTAAAAATGGTTCATATGTGTTAGGTCATTGTATCTATCTGTTTGAATACTTGCAAAGATAAAATAAATATCTGAAATCTTGTTTATACCTCCACACTTTTAGAAAAAATACTGTTGATAAAATCCAGGTGACACATTGAAACCGCGTCATTTTTCTCTGTTCTATTTTATTTTATTCTGTTCGATTTATAATGTCCCTAAATTGAGTTTGGGGACTTAATGCTTTAACTGCTTTTCCAAAGATTGTTTTCCCCCTTTATACGTATAGTACTTACCGATCATAATAAAGCGGAACATAACGTTAACAGAGAAATGACAGACTTATCTTTGCATTGTTAGCAACAAGAGTGTTGATGGGATTCTCTCTTCACGAAGATAATATTTGAATAGTTAATGTTAATTAATTGTATATAAAACTCATGAAAATAGCTTGTACACGTTATTATTGATAAAGGGATAATAATTACGATCAAAGAGTGTTATAACGTTAGTTTCTATGAAAGAGTATATTACAAAATAAATATGGCAATTATCAATATTCATTTATGTTATCTGAATTCCATCTACTCAATACCGTTGTTAAAATAACACTTGGTTAATATACGTCGTTTTACAAATTGTTTCTGGTAGTATTTAGCTGATTTATGACGTCACTGGTGATATTCTTTTATATTTGAAGCTATACTAGAAGACATTTTCTTACTTAATAACCTTCAACATTAATTATTGTATATATTTATATATAAACCAAGCAATACCATCAGCTTGTAAGAGGGTTATATTTGCACTGATACCAAAATATGTTCTCTTTATTTTATTTTTATGCTACTCATAAACCACCGATATATTAATTTCACTACATTCATATTTATATATATATGTGTATAAATAATTTATACCATACTAGTAGTATGCATTTATTTATGTTTTATATCAGTAATACCACGTTTGTTAGCTCTTTGTGTAGCATTACAATATTAAGTTGACAGCTTGCCGATTAAAAACTACAGACGAGTGTCGATAAGAGCACAAGGAACATTCCTAATACGTATCGCTGCACTATCAGCAGATAGAAAGATAAGACACTCCATGATTATTCGCACACAAACCTCGTTTTATCTAAAGCAGTATCTATCGCTTGTTTTCCGGCATGTAAAAGGTAAGATAGTCTATGGTATTCTAATAGAGTGATTGCTATATTTGGTGGTATCGGTAATATGTTAAATGTTGTAATTCTGCAATACCGTTTCTTTACTAGGACATCCATGTAACTTTCTCCTGTGTATTACCTATTTACCAATAGGACATAGAGTTCTCCTTACATAGTCTTCTCGTAATCACGACTTAATATATAATTACGTACGTTCTATAAACGGTTTTTACTCTGCCAATACAGTGTTAGCAAAATGAAAACGACAAATATGATAACTAACCTCCGGGATATTGATTAAGACTCTTTCAAATATAGTATTTCAAAATCAATATCTAATAAATAGGTATTTATGATTTTTTGCTAATCAAAGACGTTTTTGACCATTTTTAAATGACTGTGAATATCATGGTTTCATCACGTTTGGAGAACAAATTCTATGCAACATAACATTCAATTAACCATTTAAACATTTATAACACGTCTTAGCCAAAGGTATGATTACGCCTTCAAGGTAACGTAAAACTGTTCCGCGGTATGTATAAACTTAGTATTGTGCTTAATTTAATGTTAAACAGTTCCTCGATATATATAAACTAAATATTGGGCTTAATGTAACATAAAACTGTTCCTCAGTATGTATAAACTTAGTATTGTGCTTAATTTAACGTTAAACTGTTCCTCGGTATATATACACTTAGTATTGTGCTTAAATCAAAGTTAAACTGTTCCTCGGTATGTCTAAACATAGTATTTGGCTTAATGTAACGTAAAGCTGTTCCTCAGTATGTCTAAACTTAGTATTGGGCTTAATTTAACGTATAACTGTTCATCGGTATGTATAAACTTAGTATTGGGCATGATATAACGTTAAACTGTTCCTCGGTATATAACATTAAACTGTTCCTCGGTATGTATACACTTAGTATTGTGCTTAATTTAACGTTAAACTGTTCCTCGATATATATTAACTTAGTATTTGGTTTAATTTAACGTTAAACTGTTCATCGGTTCGTATAAACTTAGCATTGGGCTTAATTTCCCTGTGATGATATAATCATAACGTTACAAAAAGCTGGATTCTTTGTCATCAGAAAAATATTTGATTTGTAAAGTGGAAGCCTAATTTCTCCTGAACATTTGATATCAAGTATTACTTCATGTAATCCATCAAGTATTACTACATGTAATCCATCAAGTATTACTACATGTAATATTTTCCAAGAATATTGGGTTATTGAACAATTATCGGGAGAATTGCGTTTTTCCTAACTAGTCGACGAAAATCTATCCCATATCATTTACTCGAAATAACACGGCTTTGCATCATTTGATTACCGGTAAGTTGATTTTCAACTTTTAAAACCTTACATCGCATGCCAATTACATATAATGAATTAGAATCATGAATATGTGACTTTAAAATATGTTCAAAATCTGCAGTGTGACTAGAAAACATGGTGGTGTTACCACAGAAAAGCATTTTTTTCAAACATGCTCAAAAACTTGCAGCTGGATGGCGAAGACTTTTTCCGCCTTTTTCTGTACTTTTTATAACAAATACACTTTATTGCAAAACAAAACAAAAAGAACCAGAATATCATGAGAATAAATTAACATCATCAATATAACTCGTTCCTCGTTAAAGATAATACAGATAACATAATCAGAGGTTTGATTATCTAAACTGATAAATGTGTGATTAGGTATGCTAATTAGTAGATATGGATATTATACACACATACATGTTATGTGCATGTCTATTCCCTTTGCAATGTTCTTATTGGTGGAGATCATCGAAAATACAGCCTGACCACGTGACACTTATTCTGATATATAGGATATCTGTTTATCTGGGTCACACATAACTCGGCAACACAGTGGATCGCTTGTACAAGTCGTGCACCAGGTAGGTGTATCATGTTTATTTACTTCGTTTGCTTATGGTTTACAACTTATAGCAATTACAGACAAAAGGACAAACACACTCATATCATCATTATCATCAAACGAACCATAATTTTATTTGTAGCAACGGTGACCTTCACGTCCTAAATCAAATATATATATATGTGTTCGCAATCATCAGGGTACGCAATCAACCAAGTTTGAAATGTGTACGGACATTCACTATTAAGGTTTTATCGGGACAAAACAACGAAAAAGTATATTTGTGCCACCTTTATCTAGACTATTGGCTGATCACACCCACAATCTATCAGGTTTTGCCGACCAAACACAAAATAACGTTAGAACTTATTTTTAGGGAAGAGAAGGACACGTCTCCCCAATTTATGACTCAACTGTTCTTTTCCTGAAGCTTAATGTCGTTTAACACCTTAATATTGTGCAAATTTTCAAATATATGAATATAGGGATTATTCATTGGTTTTCCGTTGAATACTATATTTAGTATACACAAAAGGCAGAATATTTTTATTGATATTGAAATACGAGTGAAAGTTATATGGTACATGTATTAAACTAGAAAACCATAAATGTTTTACTTAGAGCTGTTTAAGGTAACACTATGCAAATATTACTGCATTAGAAAAGTCCAGGAATTAGCAACATGATATTTAACGCCATATTCTAATGACGTCAAGGTTTGACAACTAGGCAAAATGTGTTACTAAACTCTTACCCTTGAAGACGGTTTGTTTGTCAAATTTTCATTTGTCTCGGTAGACGGGTCGTGTGCCACACTTTTTACTTATCCTGGTAGAAGGGTAGTTTTTCCTCTTTTTCATTTACCATGGTAGACGGGTTGTGTGGGACATTATCATTTTCCCTGGTAGATGGGTCTTGTGCCACATTTTCACTTACCTTGGAAGACGGGTTGTGTGGCATATTTTTTTTACTTATCCTTATATACGGGTTGTATGCCATATTTTCACGTATCCTGATAGACGGGTCGTGTGCCACATTTTCACTAACCCTAGAAGACGGGTTGTGTGGGACAGGATAATTTGCCTTGGTTGACGGATTGTGTTCCCCACATTCATTACCCTTGTAGACGATTTTGGGTGACAATATCTCTTTCCCTGGTATGTTTTTCTTTATCAATTAATCAGGTAGACGGTTCCTATATCAAATTAGCACTTACATGTACCCTATACACAGATAGACAGGTGCTGTGTCACATTATCAGTAATCTACAAAGCAGGCGGGTTGTGTCTAACATTAGCACGCTCCCTGCTGGACGTGTTCGTTGTGTCACATTGTCACTTACTCCAGAAGGCGGGTTGTGTGTAACATTATCAATCACCCCGCTAGACCTGTAAGTTGTGTCACATTGTCACTTACTCCAGTAGGAGGGTTGTGTGTAACATTATCACTCACCCCGCTAGACGTGCATGTTGTGTCACATTGTCACTTACTCCAGTAGGCGGGCTGTGTGTAGATTTATTACTCACCCCTCTAGACGTGAACGTTGTGTCACATTGTCACTTACTCCAGTAGGCGGGTTGTGTGTAACAGTATCACTCACCCCGCTATACGTGTATGTTGTGTCACATTATCACTTACTCCAGTAAGCGGGTCGTGTGTAGAATTATCACTCAAGTTCCGGTCATAATGGCGATTGCATAGGCCCACGATCAGGCCAGGTAAAATCCAATGGCATCGACTTAAGGAGTGGTATGTTCCAGATCATTATGTGATGTATTGATTCATCATGTGTTGATATACTATTAAAGGTGCAAAATTTAAATATATCACCTTAATACACGGTTTTCTAACCAACTCAAGAGCCCCATCTCTTTAGAAAGCAACAACAACGGGCAACAGGTTCTCATCGATTGCCACGACGAGTGTTATGGGTAACTTCGGTGAATAACTAACACTTAACTGAATAATACATCTTTATGAGACTTACATGTATATTATACCTAATAGTGTGCATTCTATAATACATGTGTGATCGCTTTCTGATACCTATATGGGTACATTCGATACATGTACTAAGTAATATATATATATGTATTTTTTTTCAATATCACAATCTGTATTATGATTTACATGTACTGCCCTACTATATATATATATATATATATATATATAATATTGCACTTTAAGAACATGTAGAAAATGCAAACTAGTGATTTCTAACGGAATCATATCATCTGCATTATCTAGACTTCTATTTAAGTTGCTCACTGATGATATAAGGACAATACTAACTATGTCAACATTTCCCATAATATATCAATAGTCTGCTATTTTTATATAAATACTTAGCTAGATCTATATCTTAACTGACATGTTCTTGGCAATCCTGTCATCCTTGATCCAGATGTTAGAATTTAGTGGTAGATAGACATACATTCTGATAATAGCATAAACCATAAAATCAGCCTGATCATGTAACATATTACTGATGTCGATAAACTGTTGATCATATTCTGAGACTTTATCCCAATGCAAATCATAACAACGCCACGAGGTCGTCAAGAATCAAATGCGGAGTACGGATTGTGAATTAAATGTAATAAATGCAAACATTACTCCACGCAAGATTGACATTGATATAATTATCAATTCAATGTTGTTAAAATATTTAACTGTAAAAACAACTCTACTATAGTTGTAATAAACATAAACAGATAAATGCTGTGTCTGTATAGCTCATTTAATCCAATAATTCCGCATTCCACCTAGCTGTTTTTTTTTCTTTTTTTTCCCATCTGAGTCACTCCTATGTTTATAAACACCATATTTAACTATCACCTGTCAAAGCATGTACAGGAGTCTTGACAGGATTTTACGCATGGCCTGATTGTGTTGTTCTTTTTCAATAATCGCGGATGAAATGGAGAATGTGATGCAAATGTACGTAAGAATGTTACCTTATATGATTGTATATATATGTCATTTATTCAAATTAACTATGTTTATCATAGTAGCATGTCATCGGTGTTCAGAAAATGTGCGCATGTTCTGCGGTGTGTATTTCAAATTGCTGTGTTGTGTTCGTCTGACTGGGGACTGGCAGTCCCGTATTAACCTTAATTATGCATTTGATAATGGCTAATTACTTAGATATTGGGATATCTGTTCGCAGTCTGAATTTACTAATGCATTGCATGATATCAATAATTTATAGCAATCTGATTAAAATCATATGTTACATGGCTTCGTTAACTTCGTACTACGCCTGAACATCTGAGTGTGCCGCGGTCAGGGTCACGTTCAGGTGACCTTTATATTTATAAATACTCATTAAATTTTAACCAATCAGAGACCCTCTTTCAAAAGGGCGCTCGGAGTTGTAACAAATATGGCGGACATTGATGAGAATGATGCGAAAGTTCTGAAGTTATTTGAGATTGATCGTCTGAAACCCGAACAGAAAAAGATATTCGAAGCTTTATTAGAGAAGAAAGACTGTATGGCGGTGTTGCCTACGCCATTATTACCCAATCGGTACGTTTTCCATGGCGTCGTAGAAACGTCAGTTCCCGCTGCCATATTTGTTTTGGAAATCTAATCTGTTCGATACTGCTCGCTATTTCCCTGGCAAACTTTTGCCAGCGCTCCTCTGATTGGTTCATCTAAAGGCCACTTGAACGTGACCCTGACCGCGGCACATTCAGATGTTCAGGCGGAGTCATGTAACAGATGATTTTAATCAGATTGTAATCTATAGCAGGTGGGTAGTAACTTACCAAACTACTTCCACAATGTATATAAATATAAATAATGAGTTTATTCTAGAAGTGATTCAATTATTATTATTAATATCTATGGTTGTTGAACAGAATCCAGGACCCCAATATATCACAATAGCTTATTTAATTTGTAGATCCCTACGTAACAAGATTGATATTAGTGAAGCAGAATTAAATTCCTGTGATGTTATATGCCTAACTGAAACGCATCTGACTGACAGCATACCAGATAATGAAATAACAATAGACTCACACATCAACATCCCCCAATCATAAAGATAGAACTATAGGTTATGGAGGAGGAATAGTAATTTATTATAAAAAAAATGTCAAAACTCTAAGAAGAAGTGACTTAAACTGCGACGTTAATAATGTTCGATTTTGAGCTTATCAAAACACAATAACATTGCTTTATAATCTTTGTATTATATAGATCACTAAAAAGATCAGGAAAATACTATTGGCATGTACAATTTATGATATAAAGTTATGAAATTAATAACCCGATTATCTTTCAGGAGTTTTGGAAGATGGAAATGCATCGGAATACACTGTATTACCTTTTTATAGTAGCTACGTTTTATAAATGCACTGCAGATGCACAACCTCCGAATTACAGCAAGCTCAGTGAGTAAAAAAGTTCAGATACTAATAATCACTTCTATATCTGAGGACATAAACTTGTGAGAATTCTTGTTCAAATTATTGTATTAATACATGTGTTCACGTCCGCTGTTGGTAATACTTTCCATTGACTAGTATTAGATGCATTACTCGGATTATTTTCATGTTCAAGTTCAGGAAAAAACCACCTCTGCGGAATATGATCTATTTAAACAAGAAAATAAGTTAATATTATTATCTTGGGAAATGTTCACAATCATATCAAAGATATCAACTGAAACATTAACCATCCAAAATGGCTAATATCATTGCTGAAAACATTTTTTATCTGATGCTCTGTAGTAATTCAATTGTATGTCCATGTAGACTGTATGCTTTTTCATTATATTCAAATTTTCTTTTGCCGATCAGGAGATTGTTTTGCTATTGTTTTCACAGCTTGTGACGGAAACGGACACATCACATTAACAGTCAATGACGCAATACAATCAGTTGTTTCAAATTGCACTAGTGGATCGCATTCCTTTAATGTATTACAAAAAAAAAAACTGTAACCGTCGACAACTGCCCATTGGTAAGTATAAGATTTGAATATACATACATACGTTTACGTTATTAGGTACCCATTCGGAATAAGGTGTTTGGTTGTATAAATGGATTTTATGACCCATTCATCAGTATCAGGAAGTTAAATATTTACACACTTTATTCCTTACGTTTAGTTTTCACAATGTATTCTTATTTTATTTCGATTATAGAAACGAAACTAACAATAAGGTTGCATATGATAGGAATATTTACATAACATTCGTTTTTCGGTTTATTACAGAACCATCACGTGAAGATTTTGATGTTAGAAGATGTGGATGAGCATGTGGATAAATTAATATTCTCTGGAAGTGTTGTTGAAGCTATTGATGTCATTTGCGATGGCACTGGTATCAAAGTGAATACATCGAACATTAAGTAAGATTCCCACGTAACAAGTCATTCTATGATAATGAAGAACCATTGTTAGGTAGTAGAACAGAATCAGATGATGAATAATTACTACAAAAATAGTCTAAATCAGATTTAATTTATAACATTTTGTGCTTATATGTTTGGAATTATTTACCACGATATACACTATTCTAAGAGAAAAGGGGGAATACTATTAAATCAAAATATTGAAATCTGGTCTTAACATGCCACAGTAAAAGTGTGTGTAAGTTTGTCAACCAACCATGTGTACATTGTGAAGTCACGTTACTATTGTAGTGTGCTGACATGTAGTTGTGACGTCACAGTGTTGTCCCTTTTTAATAAATCTGAAGAGCCCTGTGAAGGGGGAAAGAAGCTAGTTGTCTAAGAGGTCGTTATGTAATATATTTTGCTATATATATATATATATAATGTAAAATATTACATGTCCATCATAAGTAGGAAAGTATAGGAGAAACAAGATCTAGCAACCCACTTCAAAACTAGCTGCTTTCACCCTTTACAAGACTCTTCAGGCAAAATTTAACTCTGGCCTGTTGAAACCAGATTTTGATATTTTGATGAAATGGTATTTTTTCTTTTCTCTTAGAATAGTGTCGGATGAATATGATTGATATAAAGGTAATGCATTTAATTTATCTGCGCAAATTCCTGAATATGAGAATTAACATGAAAATTTAGTTTTAGTTTGTTGTCTATTCATGTACAGTCTGAGTGTTGTGAGTTCAATAATATTTTGATCAATGTAGAAATGACCACATTAAGAACAAATTATTGCCTGTATTACATTTTTTTTATTTACAGTTTTATTATATTAGCCTTATTGTTATATACATATATATCCATACACTGAATTCATGTCTTCTCATTGATAGTGCTCCTGTAACTTTTAAAACGGTTACGGTTCCTTATCATGAACTATTGACAATGATCCTTTTTGATAACAACGCCAACAACGGTCAAAAATCGGCGGATACAATAACGGTTGGGGGCAATTACACATTACAAATCAAAGCAAGTAAGTAGCTAAAGACTAAAACATTTTCAAACATATTTACAATTTAACAAATTGCCATTGGTATATCATATTGATATATATTCACTCAATCATAAATATTGACGATCGTATGCAAGTTAAAGTCTCTCAGTATTTAGAACCTTATATATTTTAACATCAAAGGCATACTTCATACACAAACAATGTACGTATTAAAAATTTACCTATTCAACGATGTGACAAATTGTATATATTTCATATATCCCTCGACCCGGACAGTTAAACCTATCGGTAGAGAGCGTGTACGCACTGTATCGAATAGGTTACTGGTAGAGTGTAGATCTATCCCACTCTCACGTAATCAGTATCGCGTCGTAAAGATGACTCAGCTTGTGTCCCCCTCGTCGCTGTTCATGGTTTAAGATTCTATGAATTTGATTGCTTCTTTGGTTTGCCTCGTTTCTTGTTATATTGTTCCCTTTCAACAAGCAAGGCATTGTCACTATTCGATAGAGTATGTATACGCTCTCTATAGACAGATGATACGTTCCGGTTCGAGTGACATATGAAATATACAATTTTGTCACATCGTTGTGCAGGTAAATGAAAAATTACTCACTCGGTCAAAGACTGACAAAGGGACTAGTCGGTTTTGAAACGTTGCGACACATTTAGTGCATAGATCAATATTAAAAAAGTTCAGAATTTGATGAGATAATTCATTTGTAGTTGAATTCAGGAGTGTGATTGGATACAGAATTACAGACCGGATGGGAAATTACCTTGGCCTATTTTAAGTAGCGGTCTGCAACACTTTTCTATTTATAGGTCGAGGCTTGTAACACTTTTCTATTCATAGAACGAGGTTTGTAACATATGATTTGATTGCAATTGGCTGTTAATCGATGGCTGGGAAATTAACTACGCCTATTTTTAGTTGCGGTCTGTAACACTTTTCTATTCATAGAACGATGTCTGTAACATATTTACAGACTCCTAATATGACGTCGATCCTCCAATCAGGGCTAGGAATTACCGACAGTCATATAATAATATACAATTATGGACTTCAGGTGAGGTCTGAACAATATTCACAGCAGGACGAAGGCCGAGGTGAATATTGTTTAGATCAGGTTCATAAGTCAGGGAGAGACCGAGACTGAAGTCAAGAATTGTTTTATTATATGACATTATACAATGAACTTATTAATTTTTCAAGTCATAAACACATGGATGGCATGGACCATTTCGGCATCACAGAGTGAAGGACTTAACATACAAAATAGCATACACACAAATTTAATTTCAGATTCAATTCATGTGATATTTAATTTCAAGTAATTGTTAATTGCACAATTGACATCATCAATATTCACCAATCTGATAAAAATCATCTGTTACATGGCTCCGCCTGAACATCTGAATGTACCGCGGTCAGGGTCACGTTCAAGTGACCATTAGATGAACCAATCAGAGGTGCGCTGGCAAAAGTTTGCCAGCGAGTCGGAATATCATGGTTGATGGATAAATAGCGAGGGGTATCGCACAGATTATTTTTCCAAAACAAATATGGCGGCGGGAACTGACGTTTCTACGACGCCAATATTCTCTAATAAAGCTTCGAATATCTTTTTCTGTTCGGGTTTCAGACGATCAATCTCGAGTAACTTCAGAACTTTCGCATCATTCTCATCAATGTCCGCCATATTTGTTACAACTCTGAGCGCCCTTTTGAAAGAGGGTCTCTGATAGGTCAAAATTTAAGGAGTATATATAAATATAAAGGTCACCTGAACGTGACCCTGACCGCGGCACACTCAGATGTTCAGGCGTAGTACGAAGTTAACGAAGCCATGTAACATATAATCTTTAATCAGATTGCAATATTCACATAGTTCAAAACTATTTTTTTAGTTGAATTCAGTAATGTGATTGGTAACAGAATTACAGACTGGCTGGCAAATTACCTAAACCTATTTTTAGTAGCGATATGCAACACTTTTCTATTTATAGGTGGAGGTCTGTAACACTTATCTATTCATAGAACGAGGTCTGTCACATATTTACAGACTCGTCACATGACGTCGCTCCTCCAATCAGGACCGGGAATTAGCATCAGTCAAATAATAAAAAACAAATCCGTTCATTATTAAAATAAAATAAAAAATGTTTAAAGTGTAATATCAATATGCATATTTTTTTAATTTCAACAAAATTTATTTCATTTAATAAAAGGATTGAATAACAGCCATAGCCTTTATTATATGCATATGTTGTTTTAGAGGACAACGTGGATATCCATGTACAGTCGTGCACTGCCTCTCCCGTCGATAAAAAGAGTGAGATGGTGCAGCTGTATTTTAATGGGTAAGCACAGATGTTAATCAGCAGATTTTATTTTAAACTGTTTGTCGAAATCTTGATATTCATATTTTCAATACAAATTATTTTTAAAGCTGTCGTCTTAAAATAACAGTTTTTCATTATATTACTTTTTTGATTAGATGACCACGTCTGTTGCAGAATATTTGCGATGTTCTTATTCCCTTCCAAAGAAAGTTATTCTTTTCAATTCAAGTTATTTCTCATTCAATTTGTGTGATCCGGCAATAAATACCAGACCCGGGATATCTCATTACGGCGTTTGAGTTAATTATTACATCCTCATCTTTTCACATGTTTTAGTTAAGATAATACATCGTTGCAACAAATTCCATAAAATATGAATGCTTGTTAATTTTGATATTTTTACCCTTCCAAAATAATTATCTACGCTAAAAATAGCACGTGCAATAACTGTTTTGGATGATGATTTTGTTCAAATGTCATTAAAACACTCAACATTAACAGAAGATATATGAAGTGATATTCTTTTATAACTAAGACAATTTTCGAAAAAAAACATAGCCGTGTACCATCAAAACATACATTTTACCATACTGTTTATATTGAAAATGAATATGATATTATACAACTAACGTATTTCGTTCTTTGCCAATACAGGAAACCCGACAGTACTAACGATGTTTTGACAACATTTGATGAAACCGAGGTGCAGACTGCATCAGCTACTATGACTGGTTTCAGATTTATCGGTAAAGACAGTGTACTCATCACCTGTACTGTTGATGTTACAACTCCGGAAACAACAATTGTACCTTCCACTACTCCGTCGGTAAGTACACAAACGACAGACACTAAGTTTCGAACAAAACATTATCACAATATTAACCTTTGCATAAATACTCATGTGAATACTATTGTTAGAGACTAACAATGTACTGCTCTCTTATGTTGTTCTTTTAAATGCCCTTGTTAGTTTTACTTTTCTTCCTCTCACTTTTCTCTTTTATGCCTCTTAACATATTGTATGTGCCATTTCCTTATTATGACAGCAACACCGCAGACGACGAAATGCATTTCAACTGAAACACAAGAAATCCCTTGTGGTATCGACTTCATTACGCGTCGAGAGTTTATCAACAAATGGGGTACAGGGTAAGTATAAACAAATTTGTTGTCTTTGACGCTATGAGTTTAACTTTTCTTTGAAATCATCTCTACCATTTCGCAAACATTTTATGTTTAACATTATAAGGTAAAAAAGAAACATTACCACTAATTATATGCATATGGAGTAAGTCCGATTCATTGTCAGTAATTAGGGGATAACCCTACTGTATTTTGAAATTTGCGGCGGTATATTGTAACTATACTGTCGCAAATTAAGTTTTACTGTCGGCTCGGAGCGTAGTGTATTCTTTAGCTTGTTCAAATTATTCGGATTTCTACAGCGGTAAGACGGGCTTTGAACTTCGTAAAAGAATAACTTCACACAAATACCAGACAAGGAAGGGGAAAGGTAACCTTATAATTCTAATTGTTCACAAATATTTCCATCCTATTCTGGTGATAATGTTTATGTGATTATGTTGGTGTGTGTGTGTGTGTGTGTGTGTGTGTGTGTGGGTGTGTGTGTGGGTGGGGTGGGGGGGGGGTGGGGGGGACCTTGCAGGTGTTTCCGGCATTGACACGTGAATGTGATTTTGTATCATTTGTCGCATGAGGCATTTTCCAGTTGTTTCGCCATTCACTTTTCTTTGTTAGTGATATGGTTATGTCCGGAGATAATTTTTGTTGCTACATCTATGCATGTATATACCTGCTCTGGGGATGGTAAAACAAGAAAACTCCCGAAGACTTCTGATTATGTTCAGGTCCGCATAAAGAAATCCTAGAAGACAGAAAGGCCTAGTGGCAGATCTTGGCTACTTATTAATAGTTATGTATTTTCCTTCGCAAAAATAATGTTTTTTTAATTATCTACTATATAAAGAATAACATACTCAAATATTTTATTCTATATTCTCCTTAGCAAGAGTTGTCTATTTATTATCCACTAGTATACAATTATGGACTTTTGTGCTGGTGAATATGATGTGATATGAACCTGAAAGAGTGATATTGACTTACCATGCGTTTACGGCTTCTAAAAGAAGACACGAAATTGAATACAATATCACAGCACAAACGCCCATAACTGTTTTATTATATGCTTTAACAATAAAATAAAACGAAACAAAACTAAAGTTCTGATTTTTGTATGCGAGCCTCCGTGTAAAATTTAGCCAGGTTTGAATACAACAGTTCATCATTGTAGCTTTCGAAGGCATCGTCTAGTTTCTTTTTCTTAAGATAAGCATGGAGGACATGCACTGCGTGTTCAATGGCCTTTCTTACGTTAACAGCATCTTTATCCTCGAATAGTTTTGGTAATTTTCCAAACGGAGGAGAAACGTTCGCCAGCAGCCATCTTCTAATGTCGTCTGACAGATCGCGTTTCAGTCTAACTGCGCATGCGCTACGACAGGTTCCGGGGAATTTCCATACAAGCTATAATTAGAAATCGATATTCACCGGATAAACAGTCTACATGAGTGTTTGAGGACTGGCCACGTGTATAGGATCCGACCAATGTGATTACGAGAAATGTTCATGCATATAATAAATATAAAGAATAAAATAATATGTATCCAAGATCTACTTAAAGGTATTTTTGCCTTCTAGGGCTTCTTCAAGCGGACTATATATATAAATATATATTCAGTTCAGTTGCTTAGATGAAAAACACAGTAATTAATTATCCTTTCGAGTTTAAGTAATTAGCTGTTAATAACACGTGCTATTTATCTTTCAGGAATGGTCGCTAAAGAAGGCCGATTCATCTTGTTGGCGAGCATTTTGCTCGTGAAGTATAGTTTGCACTGGTTTTAACATGAAGGCTTAATATCGTAATGTCGACCTTCTGAAATACAAGCAGTCTCGATCGTCATTTAAAAGCACCAGTTTGTTATAGTTTTAAACAATTTATTTATTCGTTAAGACTTTCTGCAGTTGCCAATACGAAAAAAAACCCATTTACATGTTATTCTTACCAACCAATAAATGCTTGAAATATTGTTGACATTCGAAACAAAATTAATAAATATCAATAACTGCCTAAGCTGCAGTCACAGTTGAAACAAAAATAACATTTTTTAAGTAATTCGCACTAACTTGATCCCAAATTATAAAAGACACGGCACAGGTGTTGTGGTATGCATGTACATTTGTTTGTATTTCTAAATCAAATTGACATAAATTATTAACATTTTTAATAAAATGCTGGATTTGTTTTAATCCAAAGATGTCAATGAGCACACAATTTCTTTATTAAAGAGATGTAAACTTAACAAGACGATTGTTTCTGTAAGTATTGATTTATTTGTAATGTTTAACGTGATTATGTAATCAACAAATCGTTTTACAAGGTTTGATACAATCGTTTATTTTATTGTTTTTTTGATAAATTCAATCAGCAGTTTTATTCGAAACACAATACATCAATTCATTTCATGTTTTAGTAGAATAGCAATATTATTTTTTGTTTTTCCGTTTTTGCGCCATATGAAAATAATATTTTTTGGGGGAAAGTATCTTCCATGTGCGTTATCAGATTAAATATATATTTAGATACACTGTTTTAACAGTTGCATAATTTTTTGTTGTTGCGCTGACGCAAAACCAGAAGAGTACATCCTTAATGTTGTGTATGTAACAAAAACAAATTCCAATTCGTGTGGTGTTTTGCTGACTTTATGCAACGTTACTGAGATTTAAACCCATAACAGCGTCAATGATTGTTTTTTATGAAGAGAGGAAGTGGTTGATATTCAACAGCAACATATGTGTTAAGGCTTGTTGATTGATGGCTGAAAAGTGGTTGGAATATCTATCTTAATAGATATACATTCAATAACGGATTTTGCGAACAGAAATACATGGCGAAGTAAATAACAGATAAGGCATGTTAATAGGGAAATTGCATTTCATCATGAAAACAGTATCGTCATAAAGTATCATTTTTTTTACTTTATACACACACAATGTACGTATTAAACATGTCGCAGTGTTTCAATGCTAATTTATTCCTTTGCAAATCTATGACTGATTGAGCGATTGGTTTTGTTTACCTGAACAACGATGTGACGAAAATGTATAGTTCATGTCACTCAACCTGGGACGTTTCGCCTGTCGAGAGTGAGTGTTAACATAATGCATAGAATAGGTTACTGGCAGGGTGTAAATGTAGCCCCCTCTCCCATTATGTCAGTATCGCAACATACAGTTGACATAACAGTCTTTATGGAGTACGTTACCAACTGCGATCATACTACCGTATACGCGGTAAAAATGCAGTTCAATCCTTATTAAAGAGTTTGTAAATGTCGGATGTTATTCAATAAACTGGATATATATATGTGTGTGTGTGTGTGTACGTGTGTGTGTTTAAGTTGTTGTTTGTTTTTGTGATGAATGTCAAAGTTCATATTTTGCAAGGATATTGTATTTGACTGTACTCTGAACACAATTCATAACAACATCAAACTTTTCACTAGTTCGTCATATTGTTATATCACCACAAAAAATATGATAAAATATGTCTCGTCGTTAACATACATGGAGAACATTAAAAGTCATAAATGATACGGACACATTACTCAAGGGTACGTCAAAAAATATACAAAACAATGAAAATTTTCGCAAATGGAAAAATTGACACCATGAATCGAAATTGAGTAAGTAAAAAGAAGTATAAAAACATCGATATAAAACAAGAGTTAAAACAAGAGGGAAGGAATGCCTTTAACCAGCCGCGGAACCTGTCATGTTTGAATATAAATATACTTTTCGACGAATATTTCATAAACACTTATTGCGGCTTAAAATAAGAGAGTTCGATGAAAGCAGGACTTTTGATCATTTTGTCAACATATTCCTGTACTAAGCCTTATTTTGTATCGAGCCCCTTTCATTAATATGTAATTTCTGAACTATGTTTGTTACTAACAGTTTTTTAAAAATATGTTCAACTTGACATGCTGTTTTACATAAATCTAATTGATATTGCAATATTATAATTAAAAGACATGGTAATGGATTATTAGATTTCTTATCTACAAATGATTAAATTTCCCTAAGACTATTTTGAAAAAGATGAAGAGGTTATTATTTAGTTATAATATTGTGATTTCAATAGGGTCTCTGCGTTAGCAATTCACAAAGTCTCCAACATAACCTAGTGAAGGATTTGTTACTGTAATTGTACCCAAGTAATTACCACTATCTATTCAATATGTTATCTATAATACTGTGTTCTTCGAACATTGAATGAAAGATAAGGTTTTACTTTTGTATACACAAATATCAGCCGTCTTTTTTATTTTTATTAAAGGGGCTGGTCGGGGAAAAATGTCATATTTGCTAAAATGGCATACACATGTTTAAAATACCTTCATAAGAGTAAAAAATATAATTATATTAAAGAAATCCTAAATCGTCACCTGACAGTCTAAAACTCTCAATTGACCCAGATCAGTGATGTAATTTTAGCGCACGCGCGTCATCAACAAGGTCAAATGTAAACATCGCGGCCAAAGAAAAAGATGCATGTAAAAGTCATGACAGGCACGAGGTATCAATACCGTTATATATAACAACAACATATAGGTAGGAATACTACATTTGCATCATACATGACCTTTGAAAACAATAATTTACGTATAGTATTGCTGTCTTGTCCGCTAGTTGAGACCGACATGGCACATGACGGCGTGCCATTGTTGTTATCTTCACTGCCTCACTTTCGAAACAACCACGTGACATATATAAATAGATCTGTGTTAAATTACGCGGGGCTTCCCCAATATTTCAGTGGTCAAAACTGGACATTGCAAGCAGAGTTCGACAATCATATTGCCGTGGTATAACTTTTAGAAGGCCAGAGAACGCATTTAGGCCCATTTATTTTGTATTTTTTTTCCCTACCAGCCCCTTTAATGGGTTTAGGCCATGTAACGACCTCATTATTTAACATGAAATCGGTAACTGTATTACCAATTGGTAAATTGTGTCAAAAAAGACATTAATGATCAGTATTTGTGAACTGTTTCATTTTGGGTATGATTGAATGAGTGTGATGTCGGTGCATATTTTTGTTATTGATGAGAATTTCTTAGCTATGTACATGCAAACTACAAGTCATACAATTATGTTGTTGTTTGGGTTATCTCCCTTACATTGTTAACTATCTGGTGTAAACGCTATTTGTCTCAATCAAGACGTTTAAAACCCCTATCATATTACTTATGTCTGCTACGAGAACAAAACTAATTAATATAAGAGTTCATTGATCTTGCAACTTCGTAACTTTATTCTGACATATGTATCACATGAGAGGATCATTTCTATTCTTAAATGGAATTGCATGAACACTTGAAAAATGAGTAATGATAAACCATTAAAGCATATGTAAGACTTATATGTTTATACCCAAATATTACACTATTATTGACTTTGCTCGAAAATGTAAACGTGGACAGACAGCATGCGTGTTTGTGTCCCAACATATCGTACTGTGACCAATGATAACCGGTGTTTTGGACGGGTTCGGCCATCTTGTTGAATAGCTTACCGTCTGCAACGTATTTGTACCAAGAAGTCAAAACGCTGGCTAAATTAAAGAAGGAGATAAAGGCCCACCTTTTTACCACTGCTTTATAGGCTTGTGTAGTGCAAACGTCATCTAAACACTCTATATGCATATTGAGATAATTCATGTGTTGTAAAGCGCCTTACAGTAATTTTGCAAATTGAATAGGGCTGTATAAATGTTGCATTTTATCATTTTATTAATATAAGATAAATATGAGTAATTATAAATTTAAGGATTAAATAAAGTTAAATCTTAAAGCCTGCATAAAGATAGTTAAGATGATGAAGAATGCGTGTTTTATGGAGGATAGAAAACGAGGATGAGAAAATGTTGGAAAAAGTAATTAACGAAGGCTGCTTGCAGCCAGAGTTGATTATTTTTCTAGCATTCTTGAATCCAAAGTTATATATTTTAGCGCTCCATAGAAGATATGTAGACCGATTCTTTTTTGTTAAATATTTCACTACTGTGTAATTTGCATAATCTAAAAAAATGGCGTCGCTGAGGTGTAAAATTTTGAACGAGTGAATGTCTAATGTTTAGGTCTGGTGTAAGGACCGGATTAAACTCGGACTCATAATCAAGGTGACATATATAATCCAATTATTTAATATATATTTACAACATAGTTGTATCCACTTCAGTGAAAGCATTAAATGAACTTGCAACATGTTATGGAACGTGCAATATATATATTTATTTGCTGTTTCTTATCAAGAGCACCACAATTATAGTGAGAAGACTTTTTTTGTATATAAAAATATTAAACAAATCAATTTGTATATCTAGATAGTTACATTACAAATGAACATGTACTCATTCTCGTTACTATTGATGATGGGATTTATTATATTTTTTCGTAAGCACTGTCGAAACTGTTGATCAAATGTGTCTATAATGTTCCATCATATATCTATTAATTGTATTGCACTGTTTCGGATACCATCCAGGAAATCATCGGGCATTAACTTTATAAAAGATTTGAGATTTATTGAAATATTATATGACAAAGAGCTGCATTGGCCGATTGGTTAAAGCGACTAACTATCTACGACCACTAGCCCTCCACCACTGGGTCACCGGTTTGATGCCTACGAGGGGCAGTTGTCAGGTACTGGGCGCTGTTCAGTTGTTTTTCTCTGGTCACTCCGGTTTCCTCCACGACTGAAACCTGGCACCGTTTTAAATGCAAAACACAGACAATCCAAACCGTCTCACACGAGGATTATGTAACGAGCTTAAACACATCGGGATAAATGTTAAGAACAGAGCGTCATCTGAAATGGAAAGTAAGTCAATGCAATGCTCATTAGGCCAAACAAATAGTTTCATGTAACATGTCTGAACAAATGGGGTAGGTCGGTAGGCAACTAATGGTATTTAATTGTTATTTTTGATTTTATTGAATTAATATTATGTTTTATTTCAAATTTTACAATGCATTTTCTACCCATTACAATGGCTGTTAATTTATCAAGAATAAGGTCAAACTCCCAGAACAGGGAGTAAGTACATTCTAATAAGTGGCTGTGCACTTTGCCTGGCTAATCCATTAATCTTAGATACCAGTAGGTGATGAAAAATCAAGGGTCGGCAGTAAAATTTAGGGTAGGTCGGGATACCTTAAACACATATATTTTTTGTCTTACATAACCAGAGGTCAGTGTCATTCAAACTTGTTGTGCTGACCAGATTTTTGTGGCCTCGTCCTGATTTCAAAAAGATGATTTAACATAATAGCGTTGACCTGAAATTTCCATTGAAATATGATACTGAC